GCTTGATTCGGGCCTTTCACATGTCATGATAACAACCAACCTTGCCTACAATTCAACTTCTCCCTGTCCCTGTTCTTCTCCTCCTCCTCCTCCTCCTCCTCCTCCTCCTTCTTCTTCCTTTTCTTTCTTGTCTGGCTAAACAGCTCCCTCATCCTCATACTTCCATGCTTGCTTAACCAGCACTCGAAGCTACTCAACTCATTCGACACAATCATCCTCCTAAGATGGTCGCTGCCGTCCGCATCGCCCCCTCGGCCTCCACGCGCGCCCTCAACCTCCTGCGCACAGTCCAGTACACGCATCCGCCCTCCTGTCCATGCCATTCCAACCCCAATCACCATCACCACCATCGCACACCTACTCTCAGCGAACATGTTCGTCGTCACATGGCCACCCCGACAGACCCTTCGCGCCAGAAGGAATATGCCTTCGAGATGGCCGCCTCGAGCATCCGCTTCGGGCCGGGAGCTACCAAAGAGGTCGGTATGGACTTCGCCAACATGAAGGCCAAGCGGGTGTGCATTGTGACAGATGGGAATGTCGCCAAGTTGGATGCTATGAAACAAGCTGTCGAGGGTTTGTCGCGGGAGGGCATTGAGTTTACTGTCTTTGACAAAGTGCGCGTGGAGCCCAAGGATAGCTCGTAAGCTCCCACCACTGTTTTCGTCCCTTCGTGCACATCTGATAGTGATACAGAGTCAAAGAAGCGATCGCATTTGCCAAGCCTTATAATCCAGATGCCTTTCTTGCCGTTGGTAAGTATTTCACCTGCTTCTCTATCCCTTGCTAACCCCCGCAGGCGGCGGTTCCGTCATCGACACCGCCAAACTGATGAATCTATACACCGTCTACCCCGAAGCCGACTTTCTCGACTTCGTCAACGCCCCACTGGGCAAAGGCCTGCCTGTCGCCAAGGCCCTCCGCCCATTGATTGCCGTCCCGACGACCGCGGGTACGGGGTCTGAAACCACGGGCACCGCCATCTTCGATCTGGTCTCGAAGAAAGCCAAGACGGGGATTGCGCACCGCAACCTCAAGCCCACTCTGGGGATTTGCGACCCGCTCAACACACGGACCATGCCGTCGGCTGTCCACGCTTCTTCCGGTCTGGATGTGCTGTGCCACTCGCTCGAGTCATGGACGGCAATCCCGTACAATGAGCGCACTCCTCGTCCCACCAACCCGATTAATCGCCCGGCGTACCAGGGCGCCAACCCGATCTCCGACATTTTCTCGCTGCAGGCCCTCCGCAGCACGGTCAAGTACCTGCCCCGGGCGGTTAAAGACCCGGAAGACTTTGAAGCGCAGTCCCAGATGCTGTTGGCCGCGACGCTGGCGGGCGTGGGATTCGGCAACGCAGGCGTGCATCTATGCCACGGGATGAGCTATCCGATCTCGAGCCAGAACCCGGGCTACAAGCACGCGGGCTACGATGTCGACCACCCGATCATCCCGCACGGGGTGTCGGTGGCGGTGACGGCGCCGGCGGTGTTCCGATTCACAGCGGCGTCGAACCCGGACCGACACCTGGCGGCGGCGGAGGCGTTCGGCGTGGACATCTCGAACGTGAAGCGGGAGAGCGCGGGCGAGGTGCTGGGGGAAGCGCTGGCGGACTTTCTGGTGAAGCTGGGCGACCAGCCGCGGGGGTTGAAGGATCTGGGGTTCCAGCGGGGGGATATCGAGTCGTTGGTGGAGGGGACCCTGCCGCAGAAGCGCGTATTGGATCTGGCGCCGAACTTGAATAGTGAGTTGGAGGGGGAGAAGGCTGAATTGCGGGCGTTGTTGGAGGAGTCGATGGAGTATTAGTTAGCTGCATAGTTTATTTGAATCAATGACTAGTTGCATACCCCGGTCATCCCCGCATTCCATCACGCCTGCAGATCATCCGACCAATTCCCAATCTCTTCATATAAGTAGGTAGTACTGCACTGTACCTGCCTCTTACTAACTTAATTTTCTTTTCCTTTTCACTCTCTCCTCAATTCAACCCCCCCCCCAGAACCGACAAAATGCACCCTCCCCTCCCCTTCCCCCTCATCCCCCTCTCCCTCCTCTCCCTCCTCCTCACCCCCCTCCCAACCCACGCAACTGGAGCCATCCCGCAAACCCCCTTGGAACAAGACCAAGTACTAAAAACAGGCAACCCCCTCCCCCTCCCCGGCCCCTGGCCCTGGTACGCCGACCCCGAAGCCCATCTCTTCCCGCACACGGGCCCAGCAACCCAACCTGAACTCCAACAGAACTACTGGATTTACCCCACCTACAGCGCCGCCTACGAGCAACAAACCTTCTTCGACGCCTTCAGCTCCCCCGACCTAATCACGTGGACCAAACACCCCACCGTCCTCAACATCACGCAGATCCCCTGGTCCACGAACCGCGCGGCGTGGGCGCCGTCCGTTGCCAGACGACCCATCACAGCGAACAAGCAACGTGGAAACAACCCCAGCGCAAACACCCCCCGTCCAGCACCAGGACCAACCCCCGAGGATGAATCAGAATACGAGTACTACATGTACTTCTCCACCGGCGACGGCACGGGCATCGGGGTCGCCAAATCCACCACCAACTCGCCGGCGGGGCCGTTCGCGGACGTCCTTGGAAAGCCCCTGGTGAATGGCACGGTTATGGGCGCGGAGGCGATCGATGCGCAGGTTTTTGTGGATTATCCTTCCAGTCAAAACTCAGGAGGGGGGGGCACAGGGGGTGATGGGGACGGGGACGGGGACAACGGCAGCGACACCACACCCCGCGTCTGGCTGTATTTCGGGGGCTGGGGCCACGCGGTCGTGGTGGAGCTGGATGCGGAGAGTATGACCGCCCTGAAGGGGGCGTTTGTGGAGATCACCCCGCCCGATTATGTGGAGGGGCCGTGGGTGTTGAAGCGTCGGGGGGTTTATTATTTTATGTATTCGGTGGGGGGGTGAGTTTTCCCTTTTTCTTTGGTTGGTTTGGGTCTTTGGTTTGGGTGGGGGGCACGCTGGGCCTGGGGAGTTGGTAGGCTGGGCAGCTGGGCAGCTGGGCTAACTGATTTGATATAACTTAATGTACAGCTGGGGTGACAACTCCTACGGCGTCAGCTACGTGACGGGTCCCTCGCCGACGGGGCCGTTCAGCTCCACCCCCACCAAGATCCTGCAGGGCAACGACAAGATCGGGACGAGTACCGCCCATCATAGTGTGTTGACGATCGGCGAGGAGTACTACATCGTCTATCACCGACGGTATCCCAACGATACGGCGCGGGATCATCGTGTCGTGTGTATCGATCGCATGGAGTTCGACGCGCAGGGGAACATCCTGCCTGTGAATATCACGCTGGAGGGGGTGGATGCTAGGCCTTTGTGATTGCTTCTTTGTCAGATGGTTGTCCTAGCGGGTAGGGGTATAGAGGCGGAGGCTACGCTGTGTATACTTCTTCTTCTCTGTTTGTAAGCGCAACGGTGGACTCACAGCAGGACAGAAGCGTCCTTGTTTAAAGTATATGTATACGGGGGACGCCTAAAACAATAAATTCATTCGTATCTCATATGCAGGTACAGTATATGCAAGGGTATCATTTCAAAACATCGAACTCCGCTTCTTACTCAACTTCGTCTCATCCGCCGACGACCGTCGTAATCGAAAGAAACTGCTCTTCTTCGGCTGCAACGCCGGTTTCGCTTGTGCCTGTTGCTGCTGCTGCTGCTCCGGCGACAACGAAAAGCGCACCACCGACTGGTGCCGCGGATCGACCCGCCCTGCACCATGAATCCGGGGCCGTCCATCCTGGTACGGATAACTGTGTGGCTGTGGCGGGTTCGCCGGCCTCAGGGGCAGACTCGGTGCAGGAGGAGCAGCAGCAGCAGCAGCAGCAGCAGCAGCACTCATCCGCGGGGGCAGCGGCCCCGGGACCCCGGACGCCTGCATGCGCACGTGCTCCTCCTCCTGCCCATAGATCCTCTGCAGCCGGAGCGTCTCGCGATCAATCTCCGCCTGGCGCTCCGCCTCGCGCTGTCGTCGCGTCCGCTCCTCTTCCTCCAGTAACAGCCGCGTGCGGCGCTCCTCCTCTTTGCGCCAATTCTCCGCCGGTGATACCGCAGGTTGCGGCAGGGGTTTCGACAGCTGTTGCGATGACTGTCGTGACATCGGCGATGATGACGGCGCTAGAGGCGACGAGGGCGACGCATTCAAAGCCCCCGATGCCATAGCCACCGAGGACCCCATCGTCGTACCCACTACAGGTCTCTGCTGCTTGACTGGGCCCCCCTCCCTCCCTCCACTCCCAGTCCCCGAAACTGCTGCCGGTGCCCCGGACTTCCCCACACGGAATGCCTCCCGCAACCCCTGCGACGCAAACCAGACATCCCTGATCGTCACGGCGGCCAACAACAGGACGACCTCCAGCCCCTTGAAATCCTCCATCTCCACCCGGTAGAGGTTCGGCTCATACAGGGTCAGCTCCTTCAGCGACTGGAACATGGCCACGGTGATATCCGGCTCCTTCGCCTTGGTTTTGGACTCCGGGAGCGTCGTCGTCTTGCCCGACAGCACGCAGGTCAGATCCTTGCTCAGCTTGCTGTCCTTCCGCCACGCGAACCGCAGCTTCGGGGTGATGTCGGCGGAGGCCGGGTCGGCCTGGGTGCGATCGAGCCGCGACGTCGACGGCTGCCGGAAGCTGTGCTGCGGCATCTCAAACCACCAGGTCGCCGGGCTGTTCCAGGACTTGGGCTTGAAGTGGACGGTGACGGTTTGATCCGGGTTGTACAGATTGATGGTGAAAGTGGTGGGGAGGAGGGGTTCGGGCGCCGGGGTGGTGCCGTTGTTGGCGCGGATGGCGTCGGCGGAGAGGGTCGGGGTGGTCCATTGCGGGAGGATCAGGACCTCCCCGTACAGAATGGAGGGGACGTGGGCGTCGTAGAGGGCGGCCGCGTAGCGGTTGTGGGCGTCCGCCGGGGTCGCGATCGTGGTCGGGTCTGGGTGTCGCAGGGTGTAAGTCGGTTGCGGGTCGTTGCCGTGTTGGTAGAGGTGGATGGTGGTTTGGTGGGGGGTTTGGCGGGAGGGTTTGAGGTAGAATGCTAGTTTAGAGGGTTGGTCAGTCAGTCAGTCGCGATGTTATTGTTGGATTCATGGTGAAGGCCGGTGAAGGTCGTGAGCGGGCGGGTATACAAGGGAAGAAGAGCATAAGAGGGCAGAAGGCAGAAGACGTACTAGGGAGGTTCTCGTCGAGCATGGTGCTGGTTACTTCATTCACCGATCATGAAAAGATTCCAAAGGAAGGTACCAATAGACCGAATGCCATTGGAGAAGTTATATACTTCACAAAAGAGTGAACGAGTTCCCAAGTGTCGGTCTGGACCTTATTATTGTCTGGGGATTGTTGAATGATGAAAGATGAAACACAATCGCGGGAAGGTATGCGAATTGGCTGCCTCAGGCCATCCGGGGGCACTGCTTTGCCCCACCCGCTATAAATAGCTTTCTCTAATTTACTCATTACTACCAGTACCGACTCACCAACAGGTCAAATATCCTCAGTATAACTGGCATTCATTCCTGACATCTACATCTACATAGGCAACAGGAATACTGCCGGCAGGATCGTCTTGTGTTTTTCTTTTTCCCCAAGCAAAAAAGCAGGATCCGACAAAATAGGCACCATGGTTTCCAAGTCGCATTGTCGAATAGACTGACATGCCGATGATTACTGTCTACGGCTACGGCCCGGAAAGGCTTCCTGTCGACAGCCTAGAGCGGAGTTCTCAGTATAAGCCTTCTTCTCCCAGGCAGACGCATATTTACTGAGTACCTGTATAAGCACTTTGCGAAAGATATTGATCAACAAGCGGTGGAGTGTGGCTTAGTGGTTATTTGACCGTGTAGATCACTAAGGTATGCATTCTGCCAACATTCCCTCGGAGGATACTCTGTAAAGAACAGGCTATCGGTGACGTGACATGCATCGAGGAACACAAAGTTCATACACCGATTGCCAATGTTTACAGAAGACGCAAATATCACCTTGTACTCGGACTCATTTTTATTGAAATAGAGACAGGCTCGCGCGCATACTACCCAATAATCATCAGATGTATCAAGGATCGCACAGATCCTAGCTACTAGTATCAATCACCAGCTGCATCAAGCCACACACACAAGCTGAAACTCTATTTATGCATGTCACGGCCCCTGCTCAAGGCAGACAGACATTCTAGTAGACTCGTCTTAGCTTCGCCTCGTGGAGAGGCTACTAGACCCCAGCACCGCGGTGAGGTGCGAGTCTGTTCGCTGGGGACCTGTTGTGTTAGCTGGACTTAGGAGTGGTGGAGCTTACCTTGTGGTCAGGTTATCGAAATCGAAGGAAGGATCAGAGGGAGGAGGACGTTCGGAGGATGCTGGATGCCCGGTCGAGGTTATAGTGGGGTATGGTCTCGACACCGAGTATCCTGCAGTGGCGTGAAAGGACGGAGGGAGGAGGACGAGGACGAGGACGACGTTCGGAGGGAAGGCTCGGAGGGCGGAGGACGGAGGACGGAGGATGCAGAGTATCTTGGCGAGGTTATAGTATAGTATAGTATGGTATGGTCTCGCCAAGGTTACTCTGGTAGTGGCGTGAGAACGACGGAGGGAAGGAGAACGGAGGAGGAGGGCGGAGGGAGGGAGGAAGGACGAGGCATGAGAGTCATGAAGGCGAGGGTGTAGTATAGTATAGTATAGTCAGGGTGGTCTCCACACTTCATCCTCTCATGCCTCGAGGCGATAAACAGACGCGTATCTGCGGTCTCTCGTAAGATTAGCAAGGTCAACTCTTCCAACGGGTCTACAGGAACCTGGATGTGTTAAGGCAGCAAGAGATGATGTCTCGAGTCTGATTGAGTCAGTCCTCGAGGTGACATCTCCTAGGATATGCGAATACAAAACCAAGGTCAAGGGCGGGGGGAATGAGAAGAGGACGAGAGTGAGGGGAGAAACATGGGGATGTTGGGGTAAACAAAACCAGTCATATTGGATTTGAGATTCACGCAGCGTGGGGAATCGTGTGTTACTGTAAACAGTGAGTTAGGGTCAGGGTTACTGGGCTGGATGGACTTTTTATGAACAACCTCACAGACAAAGACTTTCACTGCGCAGTTGCTGTCTTTGTCCCCGATGGTTCTTGGAAGGGACAATGCTATTGTTCGTTCATTATCAGCGAACCGGTGCACATATACCAGTAAACAAGGGATTCTTTGCTGCTGTATAGTCTTTCATGCATTATCTACTGCGAGTATATCAACGATCTTTCAAGAAAACCTCTCTCTAAGTGTAAAAGCCAGGCAATCTCCATCTAAGCCCGAACCCCATCTATTTCCTTGCCCTCCGGCACTTTGGCAGCCTCACGCTCCGCCGTACTCAGCTGCAACCCCTGGTCATCCCAGCCCTGCGTACCGATCTTATACAGCTTCTTCTGCTGCTCTCGGTTCGGCATCGGACCCGACTTCCCACGTCGCTGCCGCGACTCCAGGGTCTCTACCAAGGTGGCATTGTCCCCGTCCAGCGGATATCCCTCGAGATCATCCCTGTCCTCCTCCTCCGAGAACACGTACGTGCGGTACTCCGTATTCGACCAGCCAGTTCCTATCCCGAGTTAGCTTTCGTCCAGATCTCCAACCAATGCACCATGACCACCTACCCTGGAACTGACTGCTATCCTCCCAGTCCTCCGTGAAGTAGTGCAAGAACCCGCCATGCGTGACCAGAACAATCTCCTTCTCCGGTCTCCCCTTCAACCACCGTCTCGCCGCGCGGGCCCTGTCCTTGATCGCCTTGTTGGTCGGGGCGAATCGACCGGACTGTACATTCTCCCCTCTGCATTAGCACATCCGGTCATCCTAGACAAGGACTGAACAGGAATAAAATACCTTCACGTTCCAACCTTCATAGACCAAGCTCAAGTCGACAGGGAGTTTCTTCTCCTCCATCTCCTTGCGCAGCACATCTGGGTCACTGCCCGTATCGCATGCCACATCGCTGGTCTCCTGGGCATCCGGGAGAGCAATCACTTCGAGACCGGGGCGGGCCTTGAAGACGGGCTCGAAGCTCCGGAGTGCGGTGTAGATGGTGCGGCGGAGGGGGGAGGCGGTCACCAGGTCAATGTTTTCGTGGCGGGGGAAGGTATTGCGGAGGGTGCTGCATTGTTCGTTGCCCAGGTCGGTGAGGAGGGGATCGTGGATGACGTGGTTGGCGGTGCAAAGGTTATGCACGCCCTGGGGCGGAAGCCGTTAATCATAGGCAAGTCTCGGTGCGAGCAGACTACTTACCTGGGCGTGGCGGACGCAGTGAACGATCGGGGGCATGGTTGGTCTATAAATCGTAGGTATGGTTGGGGTCTGAAGTGGAAGGGTCAAGGTCAGCATAGAGTCAGAGCAACGTGGGGTAGCGGGGCTGATAGTGAAATTTGGATAAGGAGGGGAGACGCCACAATCTGATGCTGTAGATGGGGTATATACTCACCTGTAATGTGTATGTAGATTTAAGAGATATCTTTATGTTCCAATATTTCTAGCAGAAGACAAAGAACAAGGGGAAAATTGTTCGCAACGAGGGGCAAAGATCAAATTGAGGAGGAAGAGAATGAGAAGTTCAAGAGACACGAGAGGAGAGGAAAGATGGATGAATCTACCTAATGCCGAGAAAAGAGCCCGAAAGAGCGGGTACGGTACAAGTGGCGGGCCAGGGGAGGCGGCGAATCACTTCCGCCCACGCCCGCACACTTGCTTCTTTTACTGACGGAGTACTTGTAGTCACTTATACAATTACTCATTCCATCTAACTAAGGTTACCGGTGGCAACATTACAAACCACGAATCTCGCAATTATAAGTAGAGTATATTTATCTGAGTAATTCCAGTTCCCTTATCCACAATCCCTAGATAGTGCCCCAATGTCCCCACCATCCATATGCCTTGAAAAAACCGGGCATGTATGACTATAATGAATAAATACCAAGAGTAGATAACAACTATACAGCTCCCCTGGGTATGTATGTCCTCTCACGCAACGCCAAATCCTCGTGCGTTCTCCAACGCTTTGCTCAGCTTCTCCTCTAGAACACTCTTGGATGAGTATTCGGGAAGAAGTAATCGTCCGAAACACGTCAGACTCGTGGGAAGGCGCTGCGGTTTGTTTGTCAGTACAACTGTACAGTTTACAGTCGGTAGTCGAGCGAAAGGGGCAGTGACTTACAGCATCCCCAACTCCGTTCTTCTGAATCACAAACATGATGCTCGCAATCCCATTGACCGGCACCCGGTCACTAGCCGTCACAAACTCCAATAATTGTGCCCTCTTTTCCGCAGGGTACCGTCGCACGATGCTCCAGAAGTCCCGAATCACCCGGTGACTCGCGCTGAACCCGCCTTCGTACCGCGCGTGACGCTCCAATTCTCGCATATCAATCGTCTGGATGCCCTCCACCACGGTCTTGAATGACTCGGCAGTGAATATCGATAGCGCGGTCCGGTCCAAGCAGGTGTAGAACCCCTTGGCAAAGGCTTCAAACTGTGGCCGGACGGACTTGTCCGTCAGCCAGAAGATGTAATCCTTCACAAACTGCCCGCGATTGGCGTTCGTCACGAGACACGCTTCCTCTGCCGGGGGAGTAGGCGACTGAGCCGCCAGCGCGGGCAAGGGATCAACGGACTTGGCCACGTCCCGATACGAACCCGCCGTTTCTGCTGCCATAGATGAGGGAGGACTCAAATTGACGTGGTCCGTGTAATGACGGACCTCCGACCATGGCGGCGAGTACCCGAGAGACCGAGTGCCGGTTAAAGGTGGTCGGAGGGGCAGGAACGGTGTCGGCCACGGGGCTTCCTTATCAATTTTCTGCATGTCCACCGTCTCGACGTTGCCGAACACTTCGTAGCTGAACTCGTAGGTCCGCAGGAAAATGTCTCCCACATCACCCTCCTCCCACGCGAGGAGGTCCTCCAATCCCTTGGTGAGCTCCGGCCAGCCGTCTTGAATATGGTCCAGCTGTTTGACCTTGAGTCCTAGCAGCTTTCGGTAGAACGCCGTGGGAAAGTTGACCGGAAGTGTAAGCCCATTGTATACAGCCAGGGACATCAGCAGCCCGAGGAGCTCGAACTTGTAGAGTGGCTCCAAGGAACATGGCTGGAACCAGGAGATGCGGGTTCGTCCGTCCAGCGTAAACATGCCGTACGCTGGATCCAGAGCCTCTGCCATCAAGAC